ACTACCAACCAGGACTACGACCCAATGCGTGACTTTGTGCCAAAGTATAATAAATTTGCACAACCTCCAAGATCCATTAAAATATATGACGATGGATCCCTTGATGAAAGCATTCGAGCAGAATTCATGAATATCAATGGTCGATGCCGCCTCTGCAATGAAGAAATACCATCATACCTTGCCATGGCTCATGTATATCAATGTCGCGAATTTGATGACGAAAGAATTAAAGATTTTTGCCAAAAATATGCCTTGAAGCTGAACACTGGCGAACATACCATATATAATTATATAATATTGCATGCCAGTTATCTATTTCAAGACAATTTAATTCCGAATGACATTATAAAAGACATTAGTACTTACCGTAGTTTTACCAGTGATATTGACAATCTAGCTGAAACAATTCTTCCTTCTTTCCTAACCAAATGTGGTTATTCTTCATCAATTACTATAAAAAGTCTTAAGGATCATGGTTATCCTGATGCTCCTGCACTCAAAATTCTCTCTTTCAATCATCTTAAAACTTAACTTACCTTTCTTTTCGCCCATCTTTGTGCATAAAAGCCACACCTCCTATTTGCTATGTTTCTCTATTATCATATATACAATATTTACATCTATATGTACAATATTTACAATTATCTTTATTACCTATGTTATTAGCGTAACTATATAATATTATGTAACTATCTTTATTCTTTGTTAATCTTTCAAATGAAATAAAAGTTAATTTCTGTTCTTATCAGCTTAATATCTGATATGTCGGGCAATGCCCGACTCTTATATTAAACTGATTTTTGGATATCGGCCATGGGATTGGAGCTTGCTTCGCCCTGGCCACGGGTTGTCTCGGTATTGCACTACCTCCGAGTTCGGCCCATTTCCCTTCGCGGAAGGAAACACATTTACTTTAAACAAACGAAAAAACAAACAAAACAGCCAGCAAATCAAATAGCTAAGCGAATTTATTTTGTCTGTAACTAACTAACCGAGAAACGAACTGTTTAACATTTAACTAAATAACATACGTCTCTTTTCGACAGAGTCGGCGAAAGACGAAAAGACGTCGTCGCCGTCGGAAAGGAAGACAATAAAGGCCGTCAGACGGTACGTTGCAAGTGCAAAAAGTAGTGAAAAAGTAAAGGGAGGGGGTGCAACCGTGTCGCACAGAGCGTACGTTCGCGTACAAAGTATGCTCGCCGTGCGTCGTTCGAGCATACTTACCTGACGCGAGAGGCACCTTGATCAGCTAGGAGGTCCTCTCAGGATGAGGCCCTTTCATTGCACTTCGACTGGGTTGACTCCTGCGATTACCCTAACGTGGGTAACTCGAGCGTATAATTTCTGGTAGTGGGGACCTGCGTTCGCGCTCGTCCCCTTCGTTTCTCACGATGGGAGGAAGAAGCGGAGAAAAGAACAAATAAAATAGAACACAATAGAGAAGAGGGCCTTTCGTCCGTCAATTGTGTATGCCACGCTTTGGGACATATATAAATTCGTTGTTCGTTCGGGGTTAGGTTGCATGCTGCCAAATTTTTTACTGACCTATCCCAAAATGCATAGCGAGATGCAGGAGAAATTTATATCAGCTATTAGCAAGAATAAATTACTTGTATTTGACATAAATTACTTGTACTTAACAACGACGTAAACGGCCGGCGTGTGTGTATATTTTGACGGACGGCATATACATTATGAAAGTATACAAATTATAATATGTATCGTCGACGTTAACAGTAATGATATTGCATTGCGAACGTTTTTCTTACTTAGTCGTACGTTTGTTTAGCTTTTTATAGTAATTATTTCTATGTATCACTGACATTTAACGGCTCGTAGTGTAAAATTCGTTCATTGAGCTGCTTGTCTGCCGATTTCATGAAGCATGACCTTGTTGACATTGCAGCACTTGCATACAATGCGAATCATTATCGCCCACAAGCACAAAGCGTTTGTTTTACAATGAGAAAGCACGTCTGCAGCAAGTTCGCGACAGACATCGCGTGCTTCCTACGTCATATGAAACGATCGCATTTCGCGGCATTACGCGCGAATTTTCAAACATGTTCTTCTTTACGAACAGGTGTACATTGGATTAGAAAGAACGCTTGACATGACGATTGTAGTAAAGGATGATTCCTTCGTTATCCGTACTGCTTGATTTTTTTTCATTTGTTGCATGATTTCTACGCGAAAAGATACAATAGAACCGTGTGTTTCTCATGCAACTTGTAGAGTGAAAAAATGGCGAAAGCTCTTCTTCTGTATCGCTTCTCGGCCTTTTGGCTAAGATCAAGTGTAGCTGCTAACAGACACGGTGACCTGTCGAGATCTGCTGTTTCGGAGTCTGCGCGTTGTGATCGTTCGTTGTTCGTAATCATATTCAATATCGTCTTCAAAACTGTGAGTTCGTTCCTTGTTTGTAAATTGTTATATTTTGTATCTGTTTTCTGGTAGTTCCTTATTAGGGGGCCCATTTAGGGGGCAACCGAACAGGAGGGGGTCTTTCCTCTTTTCTTGTTGCTAGGGTCTAGTCGGGGGGTGGTTTGGCCACGTTCTGACACCTTCAGTGTTCCTTCTTATATTTCGCGTGTTTATCGCCATTTTGTTATCGGGAAGCTTTCTTCCTCGACTTGTTTTTGCGAAGCTACAAGACTTCACGTGTGATTTATATTCTTTTTTGGTTTCTGCTATAAGTAGGAACTGCTATATACTGTGTGCTTTCGAGTTTTATATTTGCTCGAACGTTTATCTTACTCTAAAGAACGATCGTTTATCGAAGGTCGTTTGTACTTTGATCGGGCGTTGTTTTATAACTTCTTGCTCGTATTTTCTATTAGTTTATCTTTGCCTTAACGCTGATTGCTGTCATTCAGCTTTGCTTAATTTATCGTTTGATTTGCTTGGACCTTTGCCGTTCAAGTTATTATACTTTCGAAGCACGTTGTTTGTTTGCTTCGTTTCTGCCTATTTTTCCTTGTTTTTGCTAGTTTGTTTTAGACTAGCGTATTCTGCCTTCTGCCTTTTGTTCTACAGTGAATTTCATATTTCACTGTAGATTTTCTCACTATTTGGCCTTTTGCCGTTGTATATTTACGCGGCGTTATATATTATTCGTGGGCGTAGTCGAGCGTCTTTTGCTTGAAGATACGCTAATATCCTGAGTGTTTTTGCACTAGTTGTTATATTTCTACTGGTGTAAGCGTGTCCTATACTTTTTCTACTATTATTTTGGTCTGTTTGACCGAAGACTTTTCTGCTTTGGGCGTTTTTTCTGCCATAAACGCCTGCCTTCTTGTTTGTATGAATTGAATGCATGATTGCATGCATTTTTAATTTTTCATACGCCCCCGTTTGATATTCTTTTTGAACGGATTAACTAATATTTAATAATGATACCGTATGCTTCAAGAACAGTCGATATCATTCTCCATCCTGACTGCCCCCTTCCTAAAAAGGGAGCCAAGGATGTGATAAATCTTTTAAAGACACGGGAGTTGTCTTCAACTATCGAAGCGGTCGTTCAAATCTCACCGGAGCGATATCGCCTAACTTTCAATAACGCTCGCCAAATGCAAGCTTTCTCCAACCAAGACTTCCTCGTGCATGGAAAGCCCGTGGAATTTCGATCAGTTTCCCCATTCACGTGGGTCTACATCTCCCGTCTTTCTTATGGCATCCCTGATGAAGCCATCACCAGGGCACTTGCACCTTACAGTGGCGGCATCAAGACGATCAAATCGGTGCTGCATGAGAAAATATATACCGGTGAGCACAACGTGCTCATGAAGATAACTTCCAACATCCCTGCACGCCTTCGTATTGCAGGACATTGGTGCGTGGTGAAATACAGTGGCCAAAAAACCCGTGTGTTTCAAATGCCACAAAGAGGGACACGTCATCGCTGACTGTCCGTCTTTTCGAGCTGCCCTGGATAGTTATCATAACAACGATAACGATGCTGCTACTAACGGTAGCAATAATAATACTACAGAGTCTTCTGTACCTTCCGCTCCTTCGCGCTCGTATGCTGCGGTTACGAGGAGTGGTCCTTTGCCTTTCAACACCTCCGAGAGTACCGGGCCATCCACTCCCTTATTAAATATTAATAATAGTAGTGCCCAGTCGGCTCCTGCCTGCGTCTCTGGCGCTCGGAATCTGCCTCTTCTGCCTTGCCTGCCCTTTCTGCCCTTCTGGGGCGGCACTGTCAACGGAGTCTTCCCCATCGACCGTTTCCAGCCCCGTTCGACGACGTGGGAAACGACGCCATTCGCCTACTCACTCGCCGCAGCCAGAGGAGAAACGTGCAACGCCCGATGACTTGGACGTTGGTGACATTGCTGTCACACGGATCCCATGAGCGGAATCCCTCCTGAAACTGTGCCCCTTCCTGCGGACACCGACGAGGATGATGATGATGATAATGATGAATCGGACATGGACGACGAGACAAACACGAATACGAACCTGGATGGCGATGATGATAAGGATGCTAATAGTGATAATGTTGATAATGACGATAATGATGAAAATGACGATAATGATGATAATGACGATTACGATGATAACGATGCTAATGATGAAAATGATAATAGTGGTGACGACAAAGAGTCACAGCAATCGGAAGTAGACCAAATGGACCCAGCCGACTACCTAGACCTTGGCGAGGATGAATATCCCAGCGATGATGGTGATTCCTTCGCCACTGTTTCAGAGGCTGAGCTGCCCAACTCGCCTGCTCCTCGTCCCGTACGACTTTCACTCAGGAAAGACAAACGACCTGTGAACCGCAATGAATCTGCTGGTGCCGTGGCACACGACGCAGACGCTTTATATAAATTGGCGGCAGTGCTTCCCACTCAGGGGGGCTCTCCATCTTATTAACTTTTTAGACAATTTTTGTCTTTTCCTTTTCTTTTTGAACTTTTTCTTTTTTCTTTTTTCTTTTTTTCCTTTTCTTTTTCCTTTTTTCTTTTTGTTTTTCTTTTTTCTTTTCCTTTTTCTTTCTTTCTTTCTTTTCCTTTTTGAATTTTGCTTGCCTCTAACCTTTTCACAATGACTTATTCATCATCACCAATTACTATTATTACATTGAATTGCCAAGGCCTCCGCAATTCGCAACAGAGGTCCGTATTATTTTCCTGGCTTTCTTGTTTCTCGCCCATGATCGTGTGCCTGCAAGAAACTCATGCCACAAGTCAAACAGAGTTTGAACGATGGATCGACGATGAAAATCGCCACGATAACAACAAGTCAATGTACAAAGTTCTTTCTTCCCCCGGCACGACCCGTTCGCGGGGCGTTGCCGTTCTTTATCACCCTTCTCTTTCCGTTCTCTCTTCTTCAGCCGACTCGCAGGGTCGGTTGCAAGTTATCCATTTCTCTTTCCATTCTACACCTTTCCAGCTCGTTAACGTCTATGGTCCTAACCAGAAGAACCCTGGCATTGCATTTTTTCAGTCTATTCTTCCCTTACTGGATGTCACTCTCCCTACGATCGTTGGCGGAGACTTTAATACGGTGGTCGATCCACTTATCGACCGCACTGGATGCAACCCTACTTCACCGTGGGCATATAATTGGCCACACACCCTAGCCACCCTTACTAATGAACTAAATCTCGTGGACATGTGGAGAACTCGCCACCCCTATGACCGTTCCTACACCTGGTCTCGTCGCAATGGACAAGTTGGATCACGCCTTGACATGTTCTGGTTGTCATCTTTCTTGGCGCCATGTGTTAAGGAAATCTCCATTCTGCCCTACTTTCATAGTGACCATTCTTATGTCTATCTTTCTTTCTCTCTTCCGGACGCGCCGGAGCGTGGGGGGGGCTACTGGAAATTTAATAAAACCCTATTAAATAATGAATTATATATCAAATTAATAAAGAATTTCTGGACGGACTGGCAAAAGGAGCAGATCCACTACCCTTCACTACCAGTGTGGTGGGACGTTGGCAAGAGCCTCGTTCGCCAACTAACTCAAGAATTTGCCACCGACATCGCGGCAAGACAGAAGGACACTTACCGCACTCTCAGCAGTCATCTTCATTTCCTTGCTACACGTCGTGACGCGGGTGATGATGTGGCCGAAGAGATCAGAGCTGTAGAGGACGAATTATGCGAGCACTATCAACGCAAAGCGGCTGGAGCGCGTTTACGTGCCCGAGAACGTTGGGCTGAGGAGGGGGAGATATCCTCTACCTATTTCTTTCAACGCGAGAAAACACATGCAGTACGCAATATGATGCATGCGATCAAGGATATCCACGGCCGTATAGTCAGAACTCTGCGCGGCATACTGCATGTGTGGATGTTATTTTACACTGCCCTTTTTACTGCTGCCCACTTAGATCCAGCAGAACAAACCTTTTTCCTGGACAGAATTCAACATAAACTGTCCCCTGTGGATGCCGCCCTATGTGAGGGAGCCCTTACTATGGAGGAGTGTACTGCTGCTCTGAATTCTTTCGCCACTAATAAATCTCCGGGGGTGGATGGCCTCACCTATGAGTTCTACCGTGCCTTTTGGACCCTGCTGGGTCCCGACCTAGTATCGGTGCTAAATGCATCTTTTAGAGACGGTAAACTATCCTTGTCTCAACGTACAGGTGTGATCTCGCTGCTGTACAAAAAAGGGGACAAATTAGACCCAAAGAACTGGCGTCCGATTACCTTGCTCTGCTCCGACTACAAGATCCTGTCGAAAGTTCTTACTGGCCGCTTGGCCAAGGTCCTCCCTAGTGTCGTGTCTCCATGCCAGACATGTGGCGTTCCGGGACGCTTTTCTGGCGAGGTAGTGCGCTTGGTGCAAGACTGCTTGGACCATGCTAATTTATCTAACCTCGGGGGAACTCTGATATCCCTTGACCAAGAAAAGGCTTTTGATCGCGTGGATTGGGACTTCTTACAAAAAAGTCTTGATTACTATGAATTTCGGACCTTCCTTCCGAACGTGGGTTCGTCTGCTTTATACCACACTATATTCGCGTATATCAATTAACGGTGCTCTCGGAGGTCCTTTTGCTATTTCCCGAGGAGTGCGGCAGGGTTGTCCTCTTTCTCCACTATTATATATTCTGGCTGCCGAACCGCTTTCCCGAGCGATTCAAGAATCTGCTGATATCACTGGTTTTCCTCTACCCAATGGAGAAACTGTGAAAATTCTACAATACGCAGACGATACTACTTGTCTCGTCATGGACGATGCCAGCCTGCTTACATTACTAAATATTTGTGATCGTTTTGCCACTGCCACCGGCGCAAAGCTAAACCTAGACAAGACGGAGGGTCTCCTTTTTGGTTCTTGGGTCTCAAGGACGAACTTACCCGTTGCTCTAAACTGGACGTCCGACTCTTTGATTATTTTGGGATGTCGTGTTGGGAATTCCGTTCTACCGGACTGGGACACGCTTGTTCAGAAATTCAAAATAAAATTAACATCTTGGTCCAAACGTACCCTTTCGTTACAAGGACGAACTCTGCTGGCGAACACCTTAGGCCTAAGTATATTTTGGTATCAAGGAACAATCTTTGACATGCCCAAAACTGTCATGCATGCTATTAATAAATTATTATTCCCTTTTTATCTGGAATAAAAATAAAGAACCGATTGCGCGCAGCTCTGCCGTCGCTCCCCGTCTTCAAGGGGGTTTGGGGATCGTGCATGTTGGTACGAAAATTTTATCTCTACGTTCTATTTGGATACGACGTTTATTGCTTTCGCAACACACTGTCCCTTGGCCGTCCTTGTTCTCTCTCTACCTGCGACAAGTCTTTAAACAAGATCTTGTCACCTTTTTCTCACGGGAAACTATTCCGGCCTACTTAATAAAGAAACTCCCCAAGTTTTACCAGTCCGTTGTACACACCTGGGTGCAACTAAAGGGCCGTTTTGTAGATAATACGTGGTCGGTCGGGCATATCAATGCCACTCCTATTCCGCTGGCGGAACTTACTGCTGGGCGAACTTACTCCCTTCTGTTAAACAGTGTCTTGGCTCCTCATAAAGCCATTGAGAAATTTTCTGCGCAACAGATTCACATTCACTGGCCATCTGTGTGGCGCTCTTTGTCCTTATGGCGCTTTGTCCGCTCTGTCGCCGACACCAACTATTATAACTTTCATGGCCGCCTTGCCACCGCGGACCGCTTGCTTCGGTTCGGGAATGAGAGTTGATGGAAACTGTTTCTGCGGAGAGATCGAGACTGCTCTTCATCTCTTCTGTTCTTGTGACATCGCCAAGACTGTTTGGGCCTGGATGAATCCTCTTCTGGCGTCCTTAAACATACCCACTCCCCTTTCTATCTCCACCATCCTCTTCGGATTCCCGGACGCGAAGAAGACCCCCGCTGCCGTGAATGCCCTCTTGGGTATTTTCCGTCATCATCTGTGGCTTCACCGCAATCGATGCAGGTTCGACCGTCTCTCCCGATGCCTCCTCCGTATTGCGGATGGCGAAGTCGACCTTCCGATTCGCGGTGAAACTAGAACATCGCCACTGCCTATTGACGAAGTTCGAGGAAGAATGGTTGCTTCGTGGTCTTATCGGCACCATCACCGACGACAACACGGTATCCTTTTGTAAAGATTTTGTGTCTTGAATGTTGGTAATTTGTGGGACAGGTGCTGATGGGGTCGCTTTACTGGTTGCACTGCCGGATAGCCCGTTCGTAGTACGTAGCGTAGATTACGAAAAGACAGCTCGCTGTCCTCTTTTCAACATCTCGTCTCGTGATTCTCGTTCGTTTTGTCAAAGTTCTGGCATTTATGCCAGGGCTTAGTATCGTCGAAAGATCCTGGATCTTTCCTTTCTGTTCTCTGTCGGTTCTGTCCGCGGGGGAGAGGTTCACATCCTCTGTCGATCTGCGTCGCTTGTAGCGGCCTCCCTGAGTGTACCGGTCTTGCACTTAAGGGTTCGTAGTCATTGCACCCCCGACTTCGTAACCTACCCGGTCCCCACCCAAAACAAGATCAAGTGTAGTATCTGTTGGACACGGTGACCTGTCGAGATTTGCTGTTATCGAGTCTGCGCGTTGTGATCGTTTGGTGTTTGTTAATCATATTCAATATCGTCGTCAAAACTGTGAGTTCGTTCCTTGTTTGTCACTTTTTGTATTTTGTATCTGGTTTTCTGGGAGTACCTTATTAGGGGGCCCATTTAGGGGGCAACCGAACGGGAGGGGGTCTTTTTCTTTTTCTTGCTGTTAGGGTCTAGTCGGGGGGTGGTTTGGCCATCTTCTGACTCTTCAGTGTTCGTTCTTGTTTTTCTATTTTTCGTGTGTTACCGCCATTTTGTATTCGGGAAGCTTTCTTCCTCGACTTATTTTTGTGAAGCTACAAGACTTCACGTGTGTTTATCTTCAAATTTTTCCTGCTATAAGCAAGAACTGCTATTTACTGCGTGTGTTCGAGATTATTTAATTGCTCGGACGTTTATTTACTTAACTTAAACAAACGATCGTTAATCGAAGGTCGTTTGGACTTTGATCGGGCGTTGTTCTATTACTTCTTGCTCGTATTTCGCTTTATCACTGTCTGATACTAGTCAGTGCTGTTTACTCTTTCGTGTGCTTTGTTTGGACCTTTTCCGTTCAAGCTGTTTATATATTTATCGCGAAGCGCGTTGTCTTTTTGCTTCGTTTCTGCCCCAGTTTTACTAGTTCTGTTTATCGACTAGTGTATTCTGCCTGCCTTTCTCGTTCTACAGTGAATTATCTATTTTGTACTGTAGATTTTTCTTGTTATTGTGCCTTGCCGTTCTACATTTAAGCGGCGGCTATATTTATAATACTTTCATCAACACTACCTCATAACACTACAATGATACCGTACGCGTCGAGAACCGTCGACATCATTCTACATCCTGATTGCCCCCTTCCTAAAAAGGGAGCTAAAGATGTAATTAACTTATTAAAAACACGCGAGTTGGCTAGCGCCGTCGAGGCGGTGGTTCAGATATCCCCGGAGCGCTATCGATTTACCTTCACCCATGCACGCCAGATGCACGCGTTCTCAAACCAAGACTTCTTCGTCCATGGTAAGCCTGTGGAATTCAGATCGGTATCCCCATTTACATGGGTATACATTTCACGGCTCTCCTATGGTATCCCGGACGAAGCTATCACTCGAGCACTCGCCCCTTACAACGGCGGCATCAAATCGATGAAATCGGTGGTACACGAGAACATATACACTGGGGAACATAATGTGCTGATGAAAATCACCGCTAACATCCCTGCTCGGCTGCGGATTGCCGGCCACTGGTGTGTTATAAAATACAGTGGGCAAAGACAGGTCTGCTTCAAATGTCATAAGGAAGGGCATGTCATCGCTGACTGCCCAGCCTC